ATTAAACTTTTGCTATGAAGGTATTTCGATTATTCCAGTAGAACTATTTAAAACAAGAAAAGAAGTCGAAGTTCGGTCTAAGCCGAACCTTATATGTATATCTGGCACATGTCGTTTGAATGTCGTTTTGCATCTTTCTGTAAACCGTCTGTACATGATAAGCAAGGGTATTTCGTCCCGACAACATGACCAGTTTGAAAATTTTCAACTTATTGCTTTGTTGTATCAAAGGCGCGAACTGTATCGAGTTTGGTAGATATTCGGCGTCAAAAAATAGCCCTCATTAGTCCAACTTCGGTTTCGCTGACCGCCATTAGTTTTGCGAGGAACACCTTACCTCAAAAATAAGTCAGCGAATTTTTCGTTGTCCACTTCGACAACCATAATAGGGCCGATTGGTAAATCAGTCACCGAGATACACATATACAGTTATAATACCTTGTGCACAAGTGGCTCGTAAAGTTTTAAAGGGCGATCACTAGGTTTGACCAAAAAAAAATTCGAAATTGTCTTTTGCCACTGGAGTATGTATTGACATTTGGATCCGCAAATGTATTATCCTATAAAATTTTCTAAGTACTAAGCCGCCAAGGTGTTAATGATTTATGTGTTAATGATAAGACACAAACGTTCGATTGTGTCAGAGGAGTTAGTTTAATCAAAATGTGGTTACAATGTTGCAACGATTACTTGCAATAATTTAGTAAAGGGCAATAAAGCACTTTTCTTACTAATGACGTTTTCTTTTCAACAAAAAATGTTGCCTCCTCATTGCGCTCTTCTTTGTATTGGTGCGCCGAGGACAATGGAAGGTAACACTTTTCGGTAGAAAAGAAAACGCCATAAGTAGTTGAAGGTTGCCTTTTCGCTCTTAAGCCTCATATGTCAGCAACGAGCTTAAATTATACACTTCTATGAATTTTCATTTTTAGAGCGATTGCGCATTATCTTTTCGAAGTGGGATTTGTCTTCATAAAGGCCATGATTACTCTTCAATCATACCATTTCGGTTATTGCAAAACAAGAAAAATACTTTGTTTTTGAAGTTATGCACCTCCATAAATATTTCTAAGTAGATTAATTGCTCCTCCTCTTTTCGAAGTCGGATTCCTCTTCAAAAGAATCATGAGTGCTCTTTATTCACACCATTTCTGGTTTTAGTAGATGATGAGAGAGGACTTTGTCTTCGAATAAAAATTCTGTTTCATATCGACTGCTGAGTGGAAGATCGACCTAACTCGGCAGCCAGTTCGAAAAGACCCTATCTCAAAAAACTTTTTAAGAACGCCCTGTTTCAAAATTCGTTTCAAAAATGCCCTATCTCAGTACATTTTCAATACATTTTGAAGTGACATAGGGCGTCCTTCAACCAAATTTTGAGATAGGGTGTTTTTAAATTAAATTCTGAAGTAGGGCGTTCTTGAAAAGTTTTTTGAAATAGGGCGTTTTCGAACTGGCTACCAAGATAGGTTGATCTTCCACTCAGCAGTCGGTATAATATTTCACTCATCATTGTTTACATATCGCACACCGTCTTCAAAAGAGTCACAACTCAAAATAATACGTTCGTCAGAAAATGCGAAAAACTATTCTGTAGTACATGCCAATCGTATGGGCAAGGGCGACTTTACCTTAGGTTTTTTAACAAATTATAACAAAAATTTGCTCTAGCTTTTGTTGAAAGGTAAGTAAATAAAAGCTCTGTGTACATTTTTAGAGCATAATTTCAAAAAAGCATATGTATGTATGTATGCCTACTGCCCACTGGGAAAATAGGTAAGCACCTTACGAGGTAAGCCATGTTTTCTTTCAGTTTTTAGTACCAAAATTGTCATCATGGCCAATGTCATCTACTAGTAAAGCACAAAATGAACACCTCCAACGACACATTACGTTGTCAGTTGCAAAGTAACGTGCAGCCGAAGTTATCTCCAAGCGCCGAACTACTCCGAGCGACTTCTCTGCATTACACGTAACTTACTTTGTAAAGCGGCTCAGGAGTATGTCTGATACCAAATGTACATTCTAAATTCCTAATTACATAAGGCGGCCATGCCTTTGTAAAAGTAAGGGACGTTCGGCAGGGAAATGGCAATGACTGCCAGGTGAAGAGTAAGTTGCTAATAAGGTATTATTACGTGCTCCTAATTCCCACTGGGTGGGTCCCTATATACATATGTATGTATTATCATGTAATTTTACATATATGTATTACAGATTATTTTAAAGCTCTTCTACAGCTTTTTTTAATTCACCATTACTCACCGACTAATCGCTTCATTTGCACTAGATTTGCATCGCCATAAATCCAGGCGGCGAATTCATCCACATCGAATGTGGCATTCTTTCGTTCTTTCACCAAATCGGGATTAATGTGTTTTGCTATGGACATTTTTTCTTTTGTTTTTTTAATAGCTCGTTTGATTGCAAAATTTCTTTTTCTGTTTACTCAAAGCGCTAAGCACACCGCGATTTCACGACTCTCAACCGCCTATGTCGCACAACAGCACTTGACTAGAGCTTGTTTTCATAGCGCAGATCATTGGTGGAGCTACTAGCCATAGACTTGGAAGATACCCCAACAAAGCATTGACCCAGTGAATGGTATACTCTTCGGTTGCTTGGAGCTCTGCGCTACATATATATGTATGTATGTACATTAGGGTGGCCCTTAAAAAATGAAATTTTAAGTCTTAACCCCTCAGTGGCTAATACAACGGTCAAAGATATCACATATAAATTTTAGTCCCGATTGGAGTCGATTAAGGCGTGTTGCACAGGGGTCAAAATTAAGATTCCCCTACGGAGACTCAAAAAATTTAAATTAGTTTTTTTTCGTCTTACCCTACTCAAATCGGGACCAAAATTTATATGTGAAATCTTCGACGTTAGTAGTATCGATTTTGGGTATTAGATGAAAAAAATATTAATTTTAATTTTTTGAGTCTTCATAGAGGAATCAGAACTTTGACCCCTGTGCAACACGCCTAAACCGTCTCCGATCGGGACCAACATTTTTGTGTAATATCTTTGACTATATTAGTATCGATGTGGGGGTTGACGTTTAAGAAATCTGATGTAATAATGTACTTAATACATTTAAGAACCACCCCCATTTACATATGTACAGACATACATTTCCTCCAAGAGCGCATTAACGTGAGCAAATTAAGAGCGATATTGTGATTGTGCTTGATAGAAGTCGTCAAATCATGCTCTCTAATCGTTTATTTTGAGAGCTTTATTTTTCAGCTTTCACTAAGCATTACGAAAAACCTGTGTTTGTAAACAAAAAGAGGAATATTTTAATGAACTATCTTTAAATGCAACTTGTTTTATGCGCATCTACACGTAAATACAGACGACATATGTACATATATACATTTGTAGTCATTGAAAGCTGTTCATTAATATTATAAACTACAGCTGACCCGGCGAACTTCGTCCCGCCCAAAATAAATTTTTTTTATCGAAACAGGTTGGATCAACATTTTCACCAACAATTAGCATTAACGATTTCCAGTGGAACATTTATCTGCTAAGACTGTGGTTTGGTGGACGTCAGAAGCCATATCGTCGATGTTTTTGCAAAACCGCCTATCTTACGGCACTAAAATTTTACAGGACAGTGAAAAAACGGTTTATTCTTTGAAGCCATTGCTTTGATAGGCGGCATTTTCGCTAGCTATTATTTTACAAATCTGTGGTTTTAATAACGATTTAACGATTTTTATGCATAAATCTCAATGCCTGGAGTTCAGGGTTACGAAATTTCATTTTTGCCACAACGGCGATTTAGACGGTTTTGCAACTGGTCGATGGGCGGGTTTGTAAAAACATCGACGATATGTATTTCCATTGCCGTGTTAAATAACCTAACGAAACTGTTATGTTCGTGAAGAAGTTCCTGAAATTCTCAAATGATGGCGCGCTTCATAACACGGTTAATCGCAACCCGTAATAAATTTGAAGAACTTTTTCCTCTTTACTCCCTGGCGGCAACAATGATCCGGCCGATGGTGAATCTGTCCTTTAAACTATATAGTTTGGTGGTAATTGAGTATCGTTGTTCTACAGAAATCCATAACATATTGTACATAGTCTTATTTCAGGCGCAATGGTGGTTTATTTAACGGTGGTAATTTAAAATTGGCCCCTGGGCAATTCAATCCTGGTGTCTCCGAGTGAAGCTTCAACGCAAAGCAAAATTGGCAAATCACATCCATTGGGGCAATTGGAAGACACGGAAGCTCGACATACTCAGTGGTCCAATACGTCGAGGGAATCAGACATGCACGACATTTTTTCTCACTTGGACAATTTTTAGTAATAACTCGAATTCAGCGCCACCTGGCGGCTCTATTTTGCAATAGTATTGCCCTTACCGTTACCAATGCGTATTCCGAGCGAGTCAAATCGGATCATAAATAAGATCTTTAGTAACAGCTCGATTCCAGCGCCCCCTGGCGGGTCAAATTGTGAACCTACACTATCCAGATACCCACTGAAATGCACACAAAAAATTTCGTTAAAATCGGTAGTAGGGGCTCACTCACATACACATGTAGAGAATAATTATATATGGATATGTACATACGAAGATAGGTAAATATCTCAGTACGTCTGGAAGGTACCACGCTCCCTTTTCCATTGGCCAAACTTTTCCTTCATTAATATGCTATTGATTTCTTACATCTCCATGCCGAATTCCAATACTCTACCATGAACACTTCCAGAGAAATATAGTATGAAAAATTCCTCAGTTTGGGATTGACTTCGTATTTATCCATACCAAGTTCCAGAGATATGCAGTATGAAAAATTAGGTTTGTATGGGAGGTGCCAAGCTCCCTTTACATATCGAATTATTTTAGCCCATAACCATCCTAAACTAAATAACCATACCATCTAAACTAAATGTAACTGGTACTTTAATCGGCACTAATTTGGGGTTGTCTGGTAACACCATCGAGTTGTCGCAATTATTGCAGCTGTCAAAGTGGATTGTATGTGGAATGTAAATATTGCGCGATGTTCGAGATTTGTAAACATTCGAGAAAATTGGCGAATTTTTATGCATAGTCTTAATAAAAAGCGATTGATGTTGTAAAATCCAATAAATTCAACGTTTTATGATTTTTACACTACTTCGAAGCGATGGTGAATGTAATGAAAGGAGTATTCGTTGAATGTGATCCGGCTATGAAACAATTTCTATTGCATCTCGACGAAACACTCGCACTGGGACGCAAATTCATCATACAAGATTTGGATGAGAATCATTTGTTTATCTCTACCGATATCGTCGAAATACTGCAAGCACGTGTGGACGATTTGATGGATCGCATCAGTTTCCCACTGCACGAGAAGGAACCTTAAATTTTCACACCTTTCATATTAAAACTACATACATACAAACAAATACAATCATTCAACAATGGCAGGCCGCGAATCCAACCGCATCAAAGATGCCGAAAAGAAGCGCGTACTCGACGAAGCTGCACGCCAACGACGCGCGCGCAAGGCACTTGAAGCACTGGAGCAAGACAATTTTCATGAAGATCCACATGCCGATTTGGTGATGTCCAAGAAAGCGCCGAAATTTCATGATGGCATGAAAAACACAAAAGAGAAGAAAGCAAAGCGTAAAAACGCAGAATACTACAAAGCAAAATATCGTAAGAACTTCCCTCAATTGCTGGAGGAATGCAGGCAGAATTCTACGGACGTGCCTAATTACTTAAACGCTTTGGCGCCATCGCCCAACAAGCCGCCAAGACGTTTCTGTGCGGTATGTGGCAACTTTTCCAAATACACTTGCACCGCTTGTGGCACACATTACTGCTGCATTCGTTGTTTGGGCACTCATCAGGATACGCGTTGCCTCAAATGGACGGCTTGAAGTGATCTTTTAAGTTTAGAATTTAGTTGCATACATCCATAGTTACTTTACAATGCATAATGGTAAATATATACATGCATAATTAAAAATAATATTCAAATACATATGTACGTATAACTTTTAATATTCTTGCATTTCTTTTATTCAAGTGCCAGCTATTGAATAATGTTGAAAAAATCATTGGTTCCAAGCAGAGATTGAAATACAAAGCAATACATACATCTTTTATATTGCAAGTTTTTATACAAATTCATTTCATTTAAAATTGTTTCAAAAGCTGTTGCAAAAGGTAAACGTTTTCTCTTTAACAATTGTAAGTCAATATTAAACATTTAAAGTTGTTTTGAAATTTTTCTATCCAGCTTGTATACTCTTTGCTAATAACAGAATTGGTGAAAATAACACAAAAGTTCAAACAACCGTCCCTATAGCAAGTTCCGTAAATATGTAGTTTGCTGATAACTTCCAATTTTAGGTAGCAATTATTTTTTTTGGCATAAAATGACAGTTATTTTTTATTTAATTGCAAGTACAAAAATTAAGGCTGAAATACATTATATAAATATTCACAAATTTGATTTTAAGAAGGGTTTCAAACATTTCTCAAACGAGTCTGGCACTGGTTTCTTATTTAGTGGACTCTTCTTTGCCGCTTCAAACAAGCGTTCATAAACATTGCCATCATAGCTACCCAATGTCGAATTTAATACACGATCATGATAATCGAAACCATCACAAATGCCCACAGCATCCGGTCGCAATTTCTTCAAAGCTAATTCAAGTCGTGTTTGCAGAGAGCGTAGATTTGCATCGCTGATCGCAGTGAACTGAAAGCAGGCAAATAAACAATTTATCTTGAGTTTATATGGAACGATCTGTATACTAACCCGGAGTATATCGTTCATATGGCGCAGCACAGTTTGCACTAAATACAAATCCAATATATTTTGTAAGGCCAAATTGAGTGCTGTAGACCGGTTACCCAACTGTGAGGCTTTTATTTGCTCTAAAAATACCGAAGCGACAAATTGGCGGCCATGGAGCTGTTAAAAATAGAAGAAATTAAAAGTTGATATGTTTAAGCAGAATTTTTGTGTCTTAAAAACATTGCTCAAATATTCTAAATGCCACTTCATCGCACAAGATTTAAATATGCATACTGTTTGTACAATTTAATGAAACACTTTCATATATTTTAGATCTTGAGGAACAACATCTTTCTGTAACATATCGTACATGCAGGTTACTCACCTCAGCTGCCTGCGTCAACTCGATGCCTGTATGGTTGGCCGCTTCCTCTTGTGTTTGTCCCTCTGCCACACGTTTTGTCAGATTTTCGAAGGCCAATCGAGTTTTACTAAAATTTAAAATTTTTAAAGTTCAAATAACTCCACTCATCTTCATACTCACTTTGCCGCCGTGTACTGCAACAATTTAACAATGTATTCCCCAGAGTCATTCCATTGAGGCGTTTGCCCCATCTCACGCACTTCCGCCAGATATGCAACCAACGGTGGCATTTTCTTGCCTTGCGTCAGCTGTAACCAAGACTTAACCAAGTATCTACCGATTTGCAGTAACAACACTGTATTTTCACCCTCATAAGTATATGCAGCGACAGCATCGCCGTAGATGGTACTAAAATTAGTTGAGGACAGATAGCCATGACCGCCACAAGCCAAGCGTAGACGTTCGATGCCGAAAGAGGCATCCGTGGTGGAAAGCACTTTCAGTGCACACGAAATTATGTGCATGTCTGTCATGCGTGAGTAATCACCAGCGGCGATCTCTTTCAGCGTCAATTCATACATTTCCCACATGTGTTTAGCGGCAAGATGGTAGGCTATGCCGTTGGCTATTTCCGGAAAGAGTTTATACTGCTGCGTTACATGATCGATGATTTGCGGTTCAGGCTCACTGAAAGCGTTACAATTTTATATTAAATTTGTATTAAAAATAGATAGCATAGCTAAAGGGCGCTTACTTGGTATTAATCGGACTCTGTCGTCTAACTGCCGAGTAGCGTGTTGCTATTGTGGCAGCCTGCAATAGGTAATTCGATGACCACCTTCCAATCAAGCAACGTGTATATACCATAGTCATATAATTCAATTTCGATGCTGGACTGGCGACAAATGTGCCATCCGGCAAAACCTTGGCATTGCGCATCAGCATATTTGTGCGTGGTATGCGCACATTCCTTAAGCCCAAGAAACCTTGATTTACGCCAGCCATGCCTAGTTTCTTGCCAATCTCGCCAATATCCACGCCTGGTAATGGCATGTGGGTATCCAAATCACGGAGCTGCACCATAAAACTTTGAATGCCATGGTGTTTATCGTCGATGTACAGCTGGGCCACCACCATTGCGTGGTTGGCGGTGTGTCCCACTAAAATGTTAAGGTTTTACTAATTCAATAATAATAAACCACAAGTCAAACGACTTACATCCACCCGGCCACCACTTGTATGCCTGAAGATTAGGTGTGTTCAACACAAACTCGTCGGTTTTGCGATCATAGTCGGCGCGTGTTTCAATGCCACGGACATTGGTGCCATGTCCGATTTCGGTTTGTGCATAGGTGCCGATTATATTACAGTTCGCTGCAGGTTTGCCAAATTTTTCGATTTGTTCTGGTGTTCCTTGGCTGAAAATCACATCAACAAACATTGTTATGTGCGTGCCAAAAGGATGGTTAATAGGCATCAGTGCTTGACCCGGAAAGCTGTAGAGTAATTTCCTTAAAAAAAAAATTAGCTATATTTTTGTACTATGTTTGAAATTAACTGGCTAACCAGAATGGTGAGACTGTGGTATGATGCAGCAAGAGTTGTCAAAAGTTAAAATATTCGTAATGCTTTAAACCGGCCACCATAGATAGCTATGGTTGTAGTGCATTATAATAGCGTGAAATAGCTTGTGGCTGTGGTACTACATTCTGGTTAGCCAGTAAGTATTAGCTAAACTTACGGCCAAATATCATTGCCACCTGGATTGCGCAGCGCTTGCAATTTTTGTAACTTTTTTGATGCTTCGGTGACATCCTTCAGTGCCAGATGGTAAACATCTTCATGTGATAGGTAGTCGTGCATGTGACCATCTCTGAGATCCTTATAGAGGTAGTTTTCTGTAAGGCAATTCGAGTTCAATTAGAAAACTTAATTAATTTTTTGAAACGGCTTTCTGTTTCGCAAGGATACTCTTATTAATAATTAAAATTATTTGTCTTGGAGTTCGAACCGATATACTAATTATTTAAGTGAAAAGTGATGCTGTCTCGCAATTGCCAACCAATGAATCGAGGCTTTGCAGAAGACGACTTCGATTCATATCTGGCCAAGGACCGCCACGCCAGCAACATTCCCCAAAAACTCCGGGTAATTTGTGTGCTGTTACAGCCACAACAACATTAGCCACTTTAATATATATGAAAATGGTGTGTGTGGAAATTTTAAAATTAAAATGCTTGAAAACTTCAAAAATGCTAAAAGTGTCTCAGCGTTTCTACCTTACTATATTTTTATCATGGGTCAAACGATATTCTTATTATAATTTTTTCGCCCATAAAAATATTTCCCTCGAATTTCGTTAATGATTCAAGTTAATGCAAGTCATACAGGCTAGCCGGCTCAAAGATGCCTAATTGCCGGTAATTATCACCTGTTCGTTCACTTACATGTATGGTTGTAAGTAGATTACTAAGTGAATGCATTTTTTGTTTATTATATTCAACATTTTTTTTTAATTTTATTAAGAAATGAGATCTTTATTTTATTTCAGTTCACATTCTGTTCACTATAAATTTTTGTAACATTGAGTGTGCCCACCGCAGGCTGGTGATCGGAACAAATCCATTTGTTAAAAGTCTTGCACCACTTTTTGTGGATGGACTTAGAGCTCTGGTACAATAGGTGAAACGACCAACTAAAATTTGGTATTACATCGTGCTGTACTTCTTGAGATGCTCCTAAGAGCTTCCCTATTCCAAATTTTAGTTGTTAGAGGAGGGTTTCAATGGATGTACAGCGATTCAAAGCGGGGTTCAAAGAATCGAGGGACTATTCTTGTAAAAAGTTATCCCTGAAATTTTTTTTCAGTATTGACATTCATATGGTTGATTATGAGAGCTTCGATTGCAGCAATGTTCATCAAATCGAAAAATATTTTAAGTGGTTATCGGCGGCAGTTTCTAAGAAAACTGATGCACCGCATATGCAAAGTAACCAAATTATAAACTTAGTACATCAATACTCGCGAGGTAGGCCCGCGATTTTCGCGCCAGTCCACAAAAAAGTGCATACGCGTGGAAGTCAAGCGCAGTACTCACTCGTCGACAAATTTAATGCAGAAGGCCGTGGTCTACTATAGTAGGCCCCGCGTGTACTCTAGTGTTACATATTCACACCTCATGCAAGTACAAAGGTAAACTCATATAAACATTAATCAGCGGGCTCACTGAATGTTATCTGATAAAACTTAAATAGTCTGTTTTCTTCAATTTAAAGAAGTTGGCAAAAGAGAGATTAGAATGCTGCTTGAGTGGCAGTATCTTGATTGTTTCGGTTACGTAAATTCGACTGCCGTGTGAAAATTCGTTAACTTTTAGGAGTTATTTGTTTTACTTATCGTCGTCTGAAATGAAAAAAGACGTAACAAACATCATCGTTGAAATGCAAAAAGTCATAACTAATAACAATTCAAAATTCACTGCTTGATTTATATGATGAATTTCATCGATTAAAACAACTCCCCACATCATTTTATAAAAAAAAAAAAAAAAATTTTAGTCACGAATTTTTCCATTTCATTTAGGATGTTGTTGCGTCTTTTTGCATTTCAGGTGACTATATGTACATGCATACATATGTACATACTACAAATGTTTTTAAATACATATAAACATGTTTAAAAAAAAAAAATAAAAATAACATTTGGAATTTTATGTAGCAATGATAAGCTTTTAACCATTTCTAAGTAGATAACAAAATGAAAAAAAAAAAAATTTATATGGTACATGCACACATATTAAAATTTGTTTCGGTTTCTACATACATACATACATACATAGGAATTATGTGTCTGCGATTGATAGCATTTGAGTTTATAATGCCTAATGAGACCTTTTTTGGACTGCAAAGATCAACCACAATTTAGATTGTTGCAAAGGTTAATGCACTATATATGTAAAATATCTATCAAAAATTGCAATTTAAATTACTAACACAGTGCTACAAAAAGGAATGAAGTAGAAATACATCCTCAGTAAGGGAAGCCAGTAAAATTGCTAAAAAGGAGTGGGTAGACACTGTGGTCAATTGTAACCAACTGTTACCACTTCTGGATAGTTGTAAGCCGCGCAAAGTCCGCAAAACACTCGGAAACCATTGTCCGCAGAATGCATCATACTAGGCCGAGTATACTTTGAATTGCCATCAAATTATAACTTAAGAAAGTTTTCTTATGAGGCAATTGAGAAGTGCATATGCAAAAATTTCATAAGTTGCATAAAAGAAATGTTTGCTTTGCATAGCATGCCTGTTAAAATTCAGCCTCCTCCTCCTCCTCCTTGGAGTGAGTAAAAACGTCGCCAAATTTGAAAAGAGGAAAAAAGTGAGCGAAAATTGTGTTTGCTGGGCAAATAAACACAGATCTCTTTGAGTTTTATAAATTGACGTATACACTTATTGAAATGTTGATAGTCCACCGAGCTACTGAGCTTTAATAGGCGGCATACCCGGTACGTCTGACTCGCGAGTCAGTTTGGATGTATATATCATAAAGTTCGGAGGTATACATGTATGATATATTAATGAAAATAAATATGTTAGTTACACCGACATGGCTCTCAGTGACTCAACTGTGTGTAGTCGAAAGGCGATTCAGCACGTACACAGATGACTCGCGAGTCAGACGCGCCATCTATAGCGCCTATTAAGTGCGCAAAGGTTTTATAACCGTAAGTCAAGATTTTGGGTATATTTGGCAAATTTCATATTTCGATTCTTGCTTTACTCGACAAGAAAGATAACATCACTTTCCAGCATATATGTATGTATGTATTACATATATGCACTGCAGGTATTTTGGAGAGTCGTACACACTGTAATACAAAGACGAATTATAAAAATTTCATATACATATGTATGTACATACATACATACATTTTTTTAAAGACATTTTGCTTGATTTTTTCACAGCACACATCTGCTCTTTGCATACGAAAAAGTCCACTTACCAATTTCGCGTTTATCTTTTAATTTATCAGCGCCGCCATACCACCAACACTGAAATTCTTCAATCTTGAAACTGGCTGACCTCCGTTCTTTTTCCAGATCGGGATTGACGCGAGCTGGTATGAGACTGGTTTCGGTGGGCATTTTATTCTACGGTTAATTTTATACTTGCAAGAATGTAACGAAATAAATTTTATTAAAAATGCAACTGTGTCAAATTACGTTTTCAAAATTTGTTCATGCAATGCGTGATGCCACTACTACTACCAACGGCACGCGATCCCGCAGAACAACTGTCAACAATACAAACCGAGCTGAAGCTTTTCTAAAACAATTTCTCTTTGTATTGTCGGAGTGATGGTTGAAAAGCGTTCGTTTTATCACTCTCTCTAGAAATGCGATCTGCGAATCAATAAAAAGCATAAGAGCGGGCTATTTTTTACGCTCTATTTTGGAGCTTTTTTATCTGCACCTGTTTGTATACCTTGCTAATTATTAACACTGCTAGGGCTTGTAGGCTCGCGTGCCGAATTTTTTGGCTTTTATTATTATAGCTAATGGTGATTTCGTTTCATCCAAAAGATGTTGTCCTTCCCTGGTGCAAAATGTGTTTTTCCTTTCTTGTCCTTGTCTAGCTCACGCATTTCATAATATTGTCGAAAGAGGCAATTAAGCGGCAACATTTTTTGGTAGAAACGAAATCATCATAAGTTTTGTCTAATTTGCCTTGTCTTATCAGCCATTATTTTCATAAACTGCCCATTTAAGATATCGCAAATCACAATGATATGTGTATTTATGTACACTATTTGTTCGATAACATGTGCCACTAGAGCACTGTTTTCAAAAAAGATCAGGCAGATATAACGTGACAAATATTGCAGATATCAATCCACAGTGGCTATTTCTTCTTCGGGTTTAGAGGTAGATAGACGTAATGGTTGCTCTTAAATTTTCGCAGACTTGTTGAAAATTTATGAAGATATAGAAAAAGAACTCCTTACTTTTTGAAGCACAAATTTCGATAAAACCACTCTTACGAAACTTTTGTCGAAAGATGCTTTCGCAGGAAAGTCTTCTAAGATGAACCGAAAAAGAGTTATTTTCCGAGATACTCAATAACTCTGCCTCATTTCGACTACCTAACTTTGTTAGCATGTTCCAAGCGAAGTTATCTACGGACGAAAAGAGTTCTGGTTCATTACCAAAGACGTAGCTGGTTACATATCGACGGCCGAGTCGAATAACCCAAAAAAAAACTTTTGTAGGCTTAGATTTTATCAGTGAGTCTCTTAAGTGTTATCGACTCACGGTGAGCCGAGTAAACTTGGTGTCTCTTCATGGTTGAACCAGAGAAGTAGGGGTGGGCTAATGAGTGTGGCAGATGTTGGGGTTGATTTTGGATAGTTAAAATATATCGCATGCATTTTTAAGTTTCACAAAGGCGGCTCGACTTCGAAGAAGACACTGCTGGGGTCGTAAAAAGGGTTCACCATGTAGATGACATTCTGGTTACATCAGGAGGCATTCCATGAGAGTTCTTATTTGTCTTTGCTCCTAGTGCTAGCGGCAATCGACTTGCTTCGGTTGCTATTCTTAGGGCGGAGGGGGAGAGAGCAAGCTGTCGAAGGTAACTCATAAAATTTTCGGATCATTTACAGTCGGTATGTTTGACCTAAGTTCTGCTTCATTGAGGTGTAACATAAAAAACTTAGGCACTACATAGACTGAATGTAATTTAATAAAGATGCTTGATATTTTACTTAAACAGTTTCTTCGACAAGGCCCAGTAGTGTGAAGACAGAGGACAATAGACGCTTAGAAAACCCATCAGCAAACACCTTTCTGGAAAAAATCTATAGCTTATTATATTCGTATTGGAATTTTTACCGATTAACCATAAATTAAGCTTAAAACACAATAAAGTAAGTAAATCAAGAGCATAGCTTTCTTTTTGAGCTACATAATTTATTGGAAAAAAAAATTGTTTCCATAAAAATTGCCATCCTAAACCCTACAATACAAGCCGGTGTTGAAAAATATCAAACATTTTAGCTAAAAGTACAGTAGCTTTATAAATTCGACTTTAGAAAAGGCTTAAGCACTGTATGGAATGACTTCGGCACTGGCTGCTGATTCAAGGGACTCTGTTTAGCTAAATCAAACATACGCTCGTAAACATTACCATCATACGAGCCCAAAGTTGAGCTCAGCAAGCGATCAGGAAAATCGAAACCATCAACTATCGGCACAGCATCGGGTCGCAACTGCTTCAAAGCGGTCTCTAGGCGAGTTTGAAGCGAGCGCAGCTCAACGTCACTGAAGCTGATGCACTGTTAAGAAAAATAAACATATTTACTTGATGATAATGGAGGGTAAGAAAATTGGAAACCACCTGCAGTATATCACTCAAATGGCGCAGCGTTGTATGCACCAAGTAGAGTTCCAAGAGACGCTGCAGCACTCTGTTCAAAGCAGCAGAACGTTCAGCGGCTTCGGAACCGGTGACATGAGCTAGAAATGTGGCAGCGACAAAGGAACGACCATGTAGCTTTTGAAAGATGAGATGTGGATTAAAAAAAAAAAACATTTTCAGGTGAAGTTATTAAGTTTCCTGAGTGTACACACCTCAGCGGCTTGCGTTAGCTCAATGCCCGTATTATTGGCCGCTTCTCCTTCAGATTGGCCTTGCTTTAGTCGCTGCGCTAAATTCTCATAGGCCAAGCGCACCTTACTGCAATTGGAGAAAGCAAATTAGTTTTCTTTGGCACTCAACTGCCCGCGTTTCGTAAACTCACTTTGCAGCCGCATACTGTAGCGTCGCAACAATATTCGCCCAATCACCTGTCCACGGACCAAAAGCTTTGCCTTGCGCTGGCCCTGCCAAATAACTCGCTGTTGGTGTAAGCGGTTTGCCCGCGATAGCAGCGCTCCAGGACTTTATTAGAAAACGTCCGACTTGCAGCAACAGCACCGTATTCTCGCCCTCATACGTGCAAGCGGCCGCTGCGGCTGCGACGATGCGATGCAAGTTGGCTGAGGTCAAGTAACCGTGGCCGCCACAGGCGAGTCGTAGACGTTCGGCGCCCACATTTGAATCGGCAGCGCAGAGCGCTTTAAGCGCACATGACAGGTTGTGCAATTCTGGCAGCCGTGTGTAATCGCCACGCTCTATGTCTGCGTAGGTTTCATAATACAATGACCACAAAGACTTTGCGGCGAGTTGATACGCAATCGAAATAGCGATTTCCGGGAAGACTTTAAGCTGTTGCGTTACATGATCAATTATTTGTGGCTCCGGCTCGTTCGGATTGATCGGACTTTGACGGCGCACAAAAGAGTAGCGTGTAGCTATTGTGGCGGCCACCGCGAGCAGTGTCGAACTATTTTGCACAATCACGCAACGCATCATAACCATCGTAAAGTAGGTTAGCACGGATGCTGGACTCTTCACGAATGTGCCATTCGGCAAGACTTTTGCGTTGCGCATCAGCATATTCGTGCGTGGTATGCGCACATTTTTCAAGCCCAAGAATCCATTATTTGCGCCGTAGAAACCCATCTTGTGTCCGATCTCGCCAATGTCAATCCCCGGCAGCGGCAAATGTGTCTCCTCGTCACGCAATTGCACTATGAACATTTGTACGCCCTTCGGCTTATCGTCAATGTAGAGCTGCGCCACCAGCAGGCAATAGTTGCTGCAGTGACCCACTGTTGGCGAAATTAAATTAAAATTATTTAGCAAACAAAATACTTTAGCGCCACTCACAGCCACCAGGCCACCATTTGTATGCGCTCAGCGTTGGCGAGTTCAGCACGAATTCGTCCGTTGTCCGATCGTAATCGGCGCGCGTCTCCAGTCCACGCAGGAATGTGCCATGGCCCAACTCTGTCTGCGCATAAGTGCCACAGATTTCGAAATTCTCCACGCGCTTGCCAAAGCGTTCCCACTGTTCGTCGGTGCC